GCCCAGAGAGAGCAGGGCGGTCCCATCAGTCAGTCCTTCATGGCTTGGGTGCAGGTTCTAAATTTGTTTACAAAAATTCTAAATTTGTTTACAAAAGCTGCTGCCTTTTTTTGTTTGTTTTGGTTGAAATTCATGGAATTAATGGCGAATGAGGGTGAGTGGGTTGCAGGCCAAAAGAGAGAGACCTGCTTGGATTAATCTTTAGCCAGTAAATCTGCTCAAATAAAATATTTTTGGCATTTGTTGTATTCTAGGCACTGTGCGTTCTGAGATGGAAAGATAAAGTAGTGACATCAAGACTTTGTAATCTGGAACAGGAGCTCTGTTCAGGGCTGAGCTCTCAGGTCCTCCCTGTCAGCGCTCTCCCTCACACCCTCCCTCTCCCTGCCCCTTCTCAGGTTCTCCCTCCTTCCTCCCCTCTCATAGGCTCTCCCTGTCCCCCTCCTCCCGCGCATTCCCACCAAGCTGAAAACTGAAGAGCGCCCTCTTCCTCTGATGACTCTCTGAAGCACTGTGTTTCATCTAAGTCTCACATTTCACCCACTTCAGATCATAAAATGTCCTGTTGTTTTGTCTTTTAAGGGATAAAAAATGTTGACAGTTAAGCTCAAAATGATCAATTTCTTGTCAACTAAATTTTTAAAAAACGTTATGCTCATTGGAATTCTTTTGGGTCTGTTCAGACATGTATACTAACTGTAGCACTCCTGAGCTTATTTTTAATTTTTTTTTTTTTTTTTTTTGTCTTTTTCCTTTTTACCGGTACCAGGGATCGAACTCACGACTGCCTGCTTGCAAGGCAGGTGCTTAGGCCGTTGAGCTAAATCCCCAGCCCCTCCTGAGCTCATTTTTAAAGAGAGCTAAGATTTTCCTAAAATACTAGGTCACATTCATTGTCTTGCTTGGGTTGCTGTTCACCTAGAACTCCTCTGTGCCTGTCCCTCCTGTTTTCCTCACGACTGCATTGCAGCCTCTTCTGGGTCTGTGAGCCCACGTGGCATTTTCTAAGCCCCTGGCACCCATCGTGCAGATCTCGGGGAGGCTGTGGTGATACCTGCATCACGTAGCTGCTTGGCTGAACAGCTGGCAGTGGGTCTCAAGTCCTGAGATGCCACGTGTAGAGTATGTGTTAGGGTTGTGTGGTGTGGTCTAGTCTGCTTCATCCCTGCTGCTGAGACAGTGGCGGTCCCCTGGGCCTCTAGCTCTCCGGCCCTGCCCGTGGGTTCTGCTTATCTCATGGGATCCCCAGCAACTCCCATGGAGTTATGGGTGTGGTCTCTTTGCACTAGATGAAAAAGTTACGGAAGTGGCTAAAAGATTAGTAGCTGGGTGGGACAAATGAACACCAGTTTCAGTTACTTAGGTTTGATAATGGCCATCAGGTTAGGGATGTGAAAAGACTCTGTGGAATCAGCCCTGTTCACTTGTCTTGCTCATTTATATTTCATTAAGAAAAAGTGCATGTGAGGAACCAGACTTCAGAGTTGTAATCTTGCCTCTGTGACTCGGTAAATTATGTAACCTCAGAGGACTGTTTCCTAATGGAAATGAACACTATTCTCTCCAGGGTATTGGTTGTCATATTGTTTTGTTTTTGATACAAGTTCTCATTTTGTAGTTCAGGCTGGCCTTGAGTTTGTAATCCTCCTGATTCAGTCTCTCGAGTGGTGGGATTACAGACATGTACCACTATATCAGGCTTTGTTTGCTGTTACAAGTTAATATGTTGTTGCAAAAAACAATATTTATCTGGTCAGACATAGTAGGAAAGATTTTATTCAGGATGCTTCAGCCATAGTTTCCCTTCTTCATTAGTCAGAAAGGTGTCAATCAAATTCTAAAAAGGAACATCAAAAGTAGTGAACTAGTCAGAATTTTTTAGGTTACTTGTAATTTTAAGAAATACTTCAAAATGTTTTTATTTCCTGCCTTTCATAGTTCAGATGAGAAAATAATATTTCTTTCACCCTCAAATCAAACTCCTTCTGTATTAAACACTGGGCTGTTACTGACCTCACAGGGAGCAATATGTAAGTATGTAAGACAAAATTTGGATTTTCAGGTTTGGGGAAACTGTTAGTTGAAAGCAATGATGGTTTTTACTTATTTTGCAGATTCTTTTACTTTAGTCTTGTTATTGCTGCTAGATACCCTCCTGGTCTGGAGCCCTGATTCTGTCTTGTGTTTAGGTCAATAATTTGAAGCATCTGCCTTCACATCAGGGTGAGTTGGAATCTTCACCCACCACCTGTGCAGGTGTGTGACCTCGGACAAGTTGCTCGGCCTCTGGAAGTGCTGCATCTAGATGACTGCATATATTTGGACCACTTAGCTCAGATTTGGATGTGCTGTTGTGGTGGTGCCTGCAGTTAGCCATTGTCCTGAGACATGACTGCTGGGTTTTGCTGGCGATTTGGTTATGTACCATTCTGTTCCTGCTCTTTTGTGTTTGCTTTTTCTTTCCCCGTTTGTTAATTTAAATGGTTCTTTAAAAAATTCAATATTGACAAGTTGCTGCCACCTACAGGCCAATATGGAAAAAGCAGAATATGTCATTACTGACTTTTCTTAGATGCAGAATATAAAATTGGGTTATCTTGGTGGTTTTGAAGTCAGCTGTGAACAAATTCATCGTCTGTTTCCTGAGAAATTTCTCTAGGTAGTCTAACAATACTTGAATAGTACAGGTCGAATATTCTTTATCTGAAATTCCTGAGACCAAATATGTGAAAGATTTTGGAGGTTTTTTAAAAATATGCAAACTTAATTTGAAAATGCAAAATTAAAAATCTTAATGCTTTTGAATTAGGGATCCTTAGCCTATATCAGAATCCTTTTATTTTTTTTTTAGAATTGGGCAGTATCTGCACTGTACTATTGGCAATTAGATATTATGTTTTCCCCTGTTTAAAATAGATTTGAAAAATGGTTTACTAAAAAGCATTTAAAAGTCTTTGTTATTGAAAGTATGCTTTAGAACCTGAATTTTTTGGTCTTGTTTCAGTTTTGGTTGAGACCTTGGAAGTGCTGAGCAAAACATTAAACTAAAATAAGTTTACAGACAATGCTGTTACAGCCTGGTCACCTTTAATTACCTGACTGTTACAAGCACACAATGATCCTCCTAACGAGTCTGACAGTAGTGGTTCAGGACCTGGTTCACGTTTGCTTTGGCTGATTAGAGTAAGAGTCACAAATGCCAATGGTAGAACCTCTGTGCTCAGATAAGGGACTGAACTTTTTAAAAAATGACAAGGAACTACTGAAGGAGTTGAAGCTGGAGAGCAACGTGATCAGATTTTTATTGTGGAAATACTACTCAGGGGATCCATTCAAGAAATTTTAGAGGCAATAAACGGGAGCACTTATTCATAGAGCTTTCCTTCCTTCTGATTACACCTTTCAAGTATTGTCTGTGCATCTGAGAAATCAATCATACTCTTATCAGCCCAGTCTGTGTTTTGTGAATTCTTTCATTTGTGTTACTTCTATGCCTTTAACAATTCTGCAGGCAGCACCCAGGTAGACGCTGTTTGTTTTGGTGCTGTCATGCTGGTGACTACTGTTACTGTTCACTCCTTCACACACTTAGCATGCACCAGCCGTGGGCTGAGGCCCTTTCTAACATATGCACACTGCATGAACACATGATGTCCTTGGCTCCTGTCCTGAGGTTTGCTGTGGTGCCGGCGGATTGTTCTCCAGCGTGGTTCTCTTCCTCCTCCCTCTCTGCCTGCCCGCAGGTCGTCCTCTGTGCCTGGTGTTGTGGGTGGGATGCTCTGTGCTAGTATTGCTTTTCCAGATTGTGGAAGGTATAGGGAACAGTTGCAGCAGCTGAGATTGTCTCTGGCAGAAAGGAGGAAGCCCTCCCTGATCTTCTGTGGGGGAAAAGATCTCTTGCCAGGGATGACAGCAAAATCCTAAATCTGTGATGTAGGGAATAGATGGGTGATTGTGGCCCAGGGAGAGCGAGGACTTGCCTCAGGTATACAGTTTAAGAGGGTGCTCAATTGCTCAGGAATGCAGTCTTCTTAAAAAGTGGAAGAAAAATCCATGACAAAATGTCAAAAGTTTAAAGACAAAATTAGTGATTTGCTGTCCATGCAGCACCATTTTGGATCCTAGGAAAAAAGGAAAAACCAGCAATTACTGATTGTATCTATTTAAAAATTTGGTATTTTGTTCATTGTGGATTCCTTGAATTAAACTTGATTTTTAAAATTGCATTAAAATACTGAATTTTTTGGTTGCCCCTTCTATTTTGCACCCAAGGTTTGGGGGCCTCACTGGCCTCACCTTAGCCTTGTGCATGTGGATTTAGTAGGAACTGGGCAGAGCTGAGGGACTGACACCCTGATACTCCCTGAGACATGGACTTCTTCACCATGGGCTCTGTCGCCAGGGAAGGGGTGCATGGGTTTGACCTTCAGGAATATGGAAGGTCTCTGTTGAGTGTATCCCCTGTGTAAACATCAGGTTCTTTTAAAAGGAATCTGGATGAGATGTTAATTTTAATAAGAGCTACTAGAGGGTGTTTCCTGCCCCTCCTAAACAAGAGATGCGACACAGTTTCTTTGAGTGTTTAGTTTGTTCCATGGTGTGCCTTCACTGAGACTGTTAAACCCTGTTCCTTGCAGAGCCTCGCTGGGCTAATGTATGCTGACCTGTTCATGAAACCTTTTAAAGGGTGATCTTGGGGAGAGCCCGCTCTTGCTCCCTTGTGACTGTGTTGTGGCTGAGGGCATAAGCAGAAGCAAAGAGGAGGCAGGGTAATTTCTAAATTCCTGCCTCGGAGTGTGAGGTCTTAGTTTCACTGGTCAGCCTGGACTTCTCTTTCGCACATGCCTGGGAGAGCCAGTCATCCTAAAGTGCAGATGAAGGTTGTACACAGATACAGTCTGCTTGGCTTTATTCTGGCTGGGATAGAGGAGCATAGATGAGATAGAGGAGAATTTTACTTTACTTTTGCCCTTTTATAAACTTTTTTTTTAACCCCCAAGGTTTGCTAAGGACAGACGCAGTACCTGAGGAGGGGGAAGATGCTGCGGCCACGCTCAGTACCACTGAGACGCTGTCAGAAGAGGAGCAGGACGAGCTGAGAAGAGAGCTGGCCAAGGTGAAGGCCTATTCCTCTCGGGGCTTCACTTCCTGAACTTAAAGTGGGGTGTGCTGTGCTCTCAGAGTCAGTGGGAACAGCTCATGGTCACTGCTGGGGAGAAAGTGCCTGGTGTTCAGTAGTACAGGTGTACAGTAGTACAGGTCTGGATTAGGGGACAGGATGGCAGTGAGGCAGGGTGTGAGCTAGAGAGAGGAGTATGAGAGTCTTCTAAGGGGCTCTGCTTCAAAGCATCTGCAACACTTACTCTTGAATCTGTCCGTGTGTTCTCGATACAGGTACTTTTGAACCTCCTGCCTCCTCCCTCCTCCTCTTTTTTTCCTGTCCTCCAGCCCTTGCTAGCCTGCCTACCTGACTTCTGGTTCCTTCTTCCTGACTTCCACGTATTAAATTCACGTAACTTAAAATCAGCCACATAAAAGTGTACAATTTCAGTGGCATTGAACAGATTTCTGTGTTGTGCAACTGGAACCACTTTCAGGCTCCACGTGCTTTCTTCCCTTCTGAAGGAGACCCTCCCACTCATTAAGTGGCCACTTACTTCCCAGGGCCCTCTCCCAGTACCTGGCAACAGCTGATATGCAGGCACAGATTGTTTCATTCTTCTCTCCCTTACTCCTTCCCTCTTTCTTCTTCTCTTTTCTCTTTCTTTTGTTATAGGAATTGAACCCAGGACTTTCACACTGAGCTATGTTCCTACTTTTTTTTTCTGTATTTTTAATTAAGTTGCCCAAACTTAACTCCTCCTGTCCAGCCTCCCAGGATTCTGGGATTATCAGGTGTATGCCACCATAATATATTTCTTGTCTCTGGAGATTTAACTCTTTTCTGGATATTTCCTATTAGTGGAGTCTCACAGTGTATGATCTTTTGAATCTGGCTTTTTTCCCTTCGTTTTCAATGTTTGTCCGTCTTGTAATTCATTCATTTTTGTGGCTAAGAAACACCCCCACCATATTTTTTGTTTTTTAACCCATCCGTTGATGGATATTTGAATAATTTCCATCTACCTTTTGACTGTTATGGGTAATGAGCTTGCAACATTTATGTTCAAATACTTGTTTGAACACCTGGCTTCAAGTGGAACTACTTCATCTTATACTTCTGTGCTTAGCTTTTTTGGGAAAAAAGTTCCACAGCAGCGACATCATTTTACAATACCATCAGTAATTTCTTCACCCCCTTGGCACCAGCCAGTAGATTGAAAAGCTGAGTGAAAAGTTGGGTCAGAATTCTGATTCCTACATTTTGGGATGACTTTGGACAAATCATTCAGTTCAACCCATTCTGCAACTTACCCATTCCTGTTTCTCACATTCCTCTTCCTCAGTGTACCTCTTGAAATGGCCCTCTAAAAACTGGATGTAATACTTGAGTTCCTCTCTGGAAGGCAGAGAAGATAGTGTCTCTTCTGGACCTCCCTTGCAATTCCTGGTGTTTAGGAGCCTTGTTGGTGTTCTTTTTCTTTCTTTCTTTTTGCAGTTATGGCACATTTGACTTGTCTTCCATTGTTGAGCTCTACATTTCTTCTTTCATGTTAACTATTTACTTAGCAGTGAAAACAGTTGACTTAGCAATATTGCTTGTTAGTTTTAAAGGTCATGTGGGCTTTGAGATCACAGAAATGTTGTGTAGGTCAAGGCTGAGAAAGTGGTTTTGCATTAAGCCAGAGGAAGCATTTCTATAAGAGTCTGGAATATTAATGAGTGTAGCATAGGGATTCAATGTTTTAGCTCCCTGGCACAAAACATCTCTTCCAGCATGGAGTCTGTCTCCCTCTGTGAGCTTGCCCTTCCATCTTCCTGGTTTAGCTTTTTCTTCTACTGAATTTCTCTCTTTTCTTCAGAGCATATCAGTTTTGGCATCCACAGCCCATAGTCTCACCGCAGCCCAGCGATACCGCCAGGCTTTGTCTCTAAGTCCTCTCGGTGTTCCTCAATCTGGGCTTCAGGATGAGAGCCGGCAGTCCCCAAGACCTCTGCAGAGCTCTGTAGGGGAGGCAGTTGAATCTGTTTTGGTTATGGCTTTGGCAGACACTGGACACAACAACACAGAGTATAAACTCATGAAATACACATGAAGGTTGGATTTTGGTTTGGGTTGATTATGCATATTTTGGTGGGGGAATGGAGATTATTTTGATTTAGTGTACATATATAAGGTTAGTGGGTAATCTTGTAGCGTATATATGTCTAGCTGGAAGGTTGAATCGGTGGTCAGGAGAAAGGTATAATCAGATTTGAGAATTATTCATGTAAAGGGTTCAGGGCCCAAGCCTCCAAGATAGTTGAGTAAGGAAGGATAGGGAGAGAGAAGGCCAAGGATAACTCCCAGGATGTAAAATGCTTCCATGGGAGAGAAGAGGGTAGCTCCGTGGGAGGAGTAAGCGTATCACAGTTTATTAAATGATGCTACATTTGTAAAGGAGTAGATAAATCAAAAAAATATTTTAAGCGACTACAATTTTGAGTATTGCTTTTCTCTAAAAACCTTCGCTGAATGACTCTTGTCATATTTCTACCACAAATCTCTTCCTCATAGGTAGAAGAAGAAATCCAGACTCTGTCTCAAGTGTTAGCAGCAAAAGAGAAGCACCTAGCAGAGATCAAGCGGAAACTTGGAATCGGCTCACTACAGGAGCTCAAGCAGAACATCGCCAAAGGGTGGCAGGATGTGACAGCCACGTCTGCGTATGTTCCCTAAATCGCACATTTTTCTAGACAATCTGCAGGACAGTTTTGCATGTTTTATTTGCAGACAGGGAGATAAGAGGATGAGGATGCTTCCGCAGCTTTTCTTTCAGTCACATAAATCACTTTCTTTACAACTGTCATGCGTAGCTGACTCTTTTCTAACTTTGGTTTTTTAGACTATTCTAGGAAACGGAAAGCCAGCCTTATATAAAAGTTAAAGAAACAAAATTCAAATTCCAGAAATGTTATAGAATTGGCTCCTCTTAGCAGTTTTTCTTTGTAAGGTTTGTTTCCTATGGTCAACTGTGAGCTGAGAAGTGGAAATTTCTAGAAATAAATAATCTAAAGTTTAAAATTGTGTGCCAGGTTGAGTAGCATGATCAATGTTGTTCACCCACTACATGCAGCTGGGGACATGATCTTTGTCAGTGTGTTCAGGCTCTACCTACCTTCAGTCACTTAGTAGTCGTGAAAGAGAAAGTAGGGTTTGATAGGGTTGGTAAGATCGTCAGTCAGAGGCACCCACAGTGGGCTTAGAACACATCCCCAACACATTAATGAATATTGAATATTGAATAATCAATGTTTGACTTCCAAATGTGTAACAGTGTGTCATTTTGTCCTCAGAATAACCCAGTATAGTGCAGGGCGAGAGAAACCTAAGTAAATATATATGCTCAGATATGTGAAGTGTGAAGGTCACAGGTCTCTTCAAAATGTGGAGCCAATCTCTAAGTTGTTTGAAGCAGGATTTTGTCGTGTATTACAGGCTGACCTTGAACTCACTCTGTATAGCCCAAGTTGGCCTCAACCTTGTGATCCTCTTTCCTCAGCCTCCTGAGTGCTGGGATTACAGATGTGCACCAACACACCTTAATTTTTTTTTTAAAGCCCTGCTCAAGATGTATCATAAGATTTTCAGGCCACAATCTCTTGTTCCTGAAAGTAGAGTCCAATCTCTTAAACTTTGTGTTTTCTTTTTTTTTTTTAATTTTATTTAAGGAGAAAAAGAAAAAAAAACAGAGAAAGGGTACAAGTTATACAGGTTTACAGAAGAAAATAAACAGTAGGAAATCACTAGTTAATGGATTACATATTGTCATCTTAGAAATAATTGTTCAAGTTACAAAATTAAAGCTTATAAGGTGGACATTCCAACAGTGAGACTGCAAACAGTTCTGTTCAATGATCCAGCAAAACTCAGTAATATCATTATCTATCTTATACACTTAAATATACATGCAGTTACATCATTTAGAGCACTTTCTTTTCCTCTCTTTTGTACAATGACAATTACACATTTTGGGTTTTGTTGCTCCCACAGTTCTTGTTACTTTTTTGGAAGAGAGTAGAACCAAATGTGACATAACAGAACAGAGTCAGTCAAATCAAAAGGGTGGACATAATAGATAATGTAAAAGCATAATACAAAAACTTTTGTGTTTTCAATCACACAATCAGTGATCCACCGTGAGCATAGTCCGGTTTTTGTTTCCTGCACAGGAAGGAGCAAGCTTCTAGCCTCAGACCGAGCTGTTCTGTTCTGTACAGAGGCCAGCCTCTGAGCTGCTGAGCTGAGGAGTTGTTTGCAGCTTAGCCATCAGCAGTGAGGCTAGTAGCATTCTGCTTGGGCCTGTTTTCTACGTGTTAGTGAACACTGGGAAAACATGCAGGAAGCAGATCTTTAACAGTATTATCACATACTGTGTTTGTTCCTGGTATTTTGATCTCAGTGAGCAAGGGTGGCCTTGTTTGGTATGTTCCTCATTCTTTTTGTTATCTTCATCATTTTTTTCTGTCTTCAGGCATCTGGAAAGAGAGAGATGGTAATTTACACCGTTCTGTTAAAGCAGAGGTTCCCCAGAGTTATTTCAAGTACCGTACCTTGGACATACTCTGCTGAGAGGCCAGTAGGTCCTTATTTGGTAGCTCTATAGTCAGGCAAAGCTTAATTTTTTTTTTTTTGCTTATATGGAAAAAGAAGAAAGAGGAGGTATAATTTCTTTCAGTCACTGGTGCTCTCACCCCCACCCACTGCCCCCAGCACTGGGAGCTGAAACCGAGCACTCGCATGTGCTAGGCAAGCACGCTGTCACTTAAAAAAAAAAAAAATAGGTATAAGCAATTATTTATTTTGAGACTGATCTCATTAAGTTGCCCAGGCCTATGTCAAACTTAGCATCCTCTTGCCTCAGCCTTCTAAGTAGCTAGGATGAAAAGTGTGCACTAGTGTGCCTGGCTCATATTCATTTTTGTGAATTTTAGTTTCATGAATTTTTTTAGCTCTTTCTTTGGCTTTGCCTTTATGAACCTCTATTTTTCCATGTCGACTAGGACACTGTAAAAGATGATATCTAGATGATGGTTCAGTGTAAGATGATGTGATTGTTGCTGCTTTGGTGGTTATGAAGGGTTTTTGAAATTCTTGAATTCATTCATTCATTCATTCATTCATTCTACTGTACTGGGGATTGAACTCAGCTGATGTAAACACTGAGGTTCATCCCCATTTCTGTTATATTTTTAATTTTGAGACAGGGACTTGCTAAGTTGTTGAGGCTGGGCTTGAATTGACAGTCCTCCTGTCTCAGCCTACTCAGTGCTGCACTAGCATTTTAAACGTGTGCTACTACACCCAAGCAAAATATTGTAGAGAGTTCTCCAAAAAGGGATAACTACTGCACTTAAAATGATTGCTATTATAACAGACTAACAAAAGAAAAACAGTTACCTGACTTTCCTTTTTTCTGTTCATTTCTAATTGAATACAGATACCGGAAGACCTCCGAAACCTTATCTCAGGCTGGACAGAAGGCTTCAGCAGCCTTTTCATCTGTTGGCTCTGTCATCACCAAAAAGCTGGAAGACGTAAAGTATGTCTGCATTCCTTTGCTCGTAAGAGGCTGGGGCACATCGAAACACTGGTGTGATTGCTTTTGTTTCCTGATTTGGTCAGGGGGACACTGGATTCCCCCATTGCAGTGAGGAAGGGGATACTCTTTCAAACTAGATCTTGAAATTCTTGCCCACATCCCTTTAGACATAGCATTCTAACATTAAAAATGCTCATCTTCTGAATCATAAAGATGATGGAAAAATTGTGTCTGTAGAACTTTGTGTCTTTTGTAGTCCTTCTGATTATACAGGGTAAGTATATTCCTGGTGGTGGGAAATTTGTGATAGCAAGCAGAGCCTGATGTCTTTCTGGGGATAAGAACAAGTGCATTGATGTGCATGCTTGGATGGAGACCTGGCTTCCCTCTCTGTATGTATCTGACAGCTTTATTTCATGGTGTGATCACAATATGCTTATTTGTGCACTGATTTGTACTAACCTATAAAATGTAGCAACATTCATGCTTAGGCCCAAATCTTCATTTTGAGCTGTTGCTTTTTATTTTCCATTTGTATTTTAGATGAGTGTGCAGGTTTTTCCTTGTCATTTTGATAAAACCACTTCATAGTGCTTTTGTACCTCCCTTCATCCATATGGAGTAGAATGGTGCTAAAAATGGCAAGTTTGGTTTAAATCAGCTGTGCTTCTGCTGGCATGCAAAATTTGTGGTTTAAAAAAAACTCAGATTGCATGACTTTGTGTTTTACATTCATGGGGAAAGTAAATTCTACAGCCAGAACTTAAGTTGTCTAGGGTTTGGTCAGTGTAATCTACTTTGTACCAAAATAGCTAAATTCTTTGCTTGTTATGTTTGGAGTTTTATTCTTCTAAGTATAATATGTCTGTAGTTTTCTCAAACCTTTTTGATAGTTCTGTACACATACACATCTGTTAGGTGCTTTTGCTTGCTTCTCTTTATGCTGACTGAATGATGTATCACTTTTAGGGCTCAGGTAAAACATGCAACTTTTGAAATGTAGGTTATTTAATTGTTTTAGATTTATCAGAACTTCCTTTATTTTTAATGCTTACTCTGCCTTCTTACAGATTGCAGGCCTTTTCGCATTCCTTTAGGTAAGGAGAGTTTGAACCATCACTGCAGCCTAGCAGTTGTGTGGGACAGGTGTGCTAAGCGTAGATGATTGTGCCACATCAGAGGATTGTGTTTGTCCACTGCATCCAGTACTTTCCTTGGATTTGGAGTATCTTTTTCTCTAGTGCATTCTTAATTTTAAGGGAGGGTTTCTTGTATACCATGAGTAATGGATAAATTAAAAGAAAAATTTGACACTGTAGTTCAGGGAATATGGAAATGATTTTGAAGTTTCTTTTTCTTATTTTTTTTTTTTTGTAAAAAAGGCACTTTACTATGGTATGCAGAATTCCTCCCTTTTAATGTCTGCCTTTGTTTGTTTTTTTGATGCTTCTGTTTCTTTGGTGCCTTTGTAAGTCTGTTGGATTCTTTCACCTGGGTCTCATTATGCATTTATAATAGGCTGCACATGTACTGCCTCTTGATAGTAAGTCTTCCGTCTTTATGAATTACTGTACTTTTTGTGTATGTTAAAATAAGCATAAGAAAATTTACTGTTATTCCGTACTTTTTAATATTACTTTTATAACTTGATAGTTTTTACTAATTGATTATGTTTATACTAATTGTAGTCTTTCCTTGTGTATACAAGGGAGTTTCATAGATTGCAAAAGGAAAAAGTGCATCAGGTCAATACACAGTACATGAAGTATGTTAAAAAGATGTTAGCCGAAGCCATGCCTTCTTGAAGGAGTGCTTGGGATGCTGAGTAAATCTCTCCCAAGCAGGCTAACTGTCCAGTTAGGTGCTGGAGGAGTCTGAGGTGGAAGATCTTCAGAGTGAAGCAGGAGGATAATGAGAATCTCTGTCCAGTGAATACAAATTGTCTTCTGAAGCAGTTACTTGCTGTGATCTAGCTATCTGCCTCTTTCAGTAGGCATATAGATCCTTATACCTCTGGGCTTGGTGACACTGAGCCCTAGAAGTTGGAGTAAATCATAATGATGCATGAACTCTTAAATGCTGAACTATTTAAAGCTGAAAGTATCAAACAACCAGGGCTAAGAGCTGACAGTGTATCTTAATTCCAAAGAGCTGTAGACACCTGAATGAGCATTCAGTCACATTTGGCACCCTAACCTGAGAGCGTGGTGTGGACAGATTCTGAGGCTGTAGTTACAAATGTCTAAAAGATGTGGCTTTTATTGGGATATGGCTTAAAATCTTTGGAGTGGATAGGGGAAGGAGAAGGGCACTTAAGATGCACTAAGAATGAAAGAGCCTGTAATTGCTCAATTATAAAGCAATGTAAGGTGTGATATAAATACAAAATATAAGAATATGTCAGATGTAACTAGATAGGGCTCAGTATGTATTGTCTTAACTCATCAGAAACTCATCAGAGTTTTGTGGTTTTTATTTTATTTCATTTCACTTAAAATATAATTATTCTTTACTACTTTTTAATGACTGTATGCATCACTATGTAGAGGTTAAGTCTTTTGAGTAACATTTGAAAATGAGAGAATTAAGATTCTCTTAAACTTTGAACTTCTTACAGGTGAAAAGTTGAGTGAAGTCCCTTAATCCAGTTTAATATGTTCAGATGTATAAAGAAAGCCACATCTTTTAGACCATGTGGGTCACAGAAGCAAGTGCTGGCCCTGTTCTGCCAAGAACTGTCCGAGGAAAGGGAGCTGGACCTTGAGCCCAGTGCTGCCCCAGCAGCAAAGTCTGGCCACCTGCCCCGGAACAGTTGGTGAATCCCTCTGATTGCTTCCGGTCCATCTTACCTGACAAACTAGGCCAGTGATTTCTCTAGGAGAGGTAGTCACACAGATACAGGAAGAAATGCGCGAGGCATTAGATTTAGCAACAGATTTTATTTTACATAGCCAACATTATCATTGAGTTTAGATATTTGTCATCGTTATTCCTTGGTGGGAGGAGGAGGAAAGAGGAGAAAAGGAAGGAAGGAAGAAGATGGGGAAGCAGAGGAGTAGTGGAGAGAGCCGGACAGGCACAGGGGTTGGTGGTGGACGGGAAGAACAGAACCTGAGCGTCCGTTTGAGGCCCTGAGGATGAGGGTGCAGCCGAGAGCTGGGTGAACGAGGTCGCGAGAAGGGTCTGCTGGGTCTGTGGGGGACAGCAGGCCTCCACCCAAGGCATGCACATCCTCCCTCTGCTGTGTGCTTGCTTTTTAACATACATGGTAAGCATTGGCTCAGTGCTTTTTCCATTTTGAGAGAAATTTTAAAAGATCTTCCCATCTCGGTCTGTGCCATAATGGAACATAAGTTTTTAGTAATAGAATACTGTGAGGAGGGCAGCCTCATTTTCCTGTTTGTGATGGATTTAAGAGAAAGTGCTAATTCATTTTGCCTCTATTTCCAAAGGAAATTTCTTCTTTCATGTATACCTCTAGATATTTTTTCTTTGTTTTGAGTTTATTACAGATATTCCAGGCAATTGCTTGTCCTGAAAATTTCTACCCCTTAATGGGAAAAGATGTGTCTTCTCAGAAAGAGATTATCTTTTGATTTGAATTTGAAAAATTATTATTTTTCCTACCTTTCATATCCATATTTTCCGTTTTGGTTAGCAAACTGTCCGTCGTTCCTTCCTTCTGAAGTCTTCACTGGGTGCTTGCTGCATGTCAGACACTGGTCAGCTGTAGAGTTGATGCTGACAATTGAAATAAACTGAAATTTGAAAGTTTTAAGAGATAGAACATGATGTAGATGTTCTGTTTTAACTAAAGTCCCCTGTTATAATAATAACAAATATCTGTGTGACAGAAGTAGATAGAGCAGCTGTGGAGGAGGTGCTGTTACTGCTTGGTTAGTACAGTTGAGGGGAATCCTCAAGGTTGCAGATGGTTGGATTCAAACCCAGCACACCCAACTTTCAGAGCTGGCAGTTTCCCCAGAACAATGATATTTTGAGGCAGTGTCCCGCAGGCATTGCCCAGCAGCTGCTTTTCCATCACCCACATCAAGAGATTGTTGTGAGGAGGAAACTGTAATTACAGAGTGCGCTTACAAGTGTGCCTGGCATGCAGACGTATTCTAACAGGTTATGCATTAATTCCTCCTCACTTCTTTCTCCTCCCCCCTTATTAGAGATGAAAAGAATCAAATAATTGTAAAACACCAGGAAAAAACAGAAATAATTTAGATTTTGCCAGAATATTTTTTTCAAAGCAAGAGTGAATATGAGATTGATTGAGAAGCACTAGTGTTAGATGGCCCTGCCATTTTTTCTGCATGTGTAAGGAACTCAGTTTGCTTTGCTGCTGCTGCTTTGGGGTTCTGAGACAGAGTCTTGCTGTGTAGTTCAGGATGACCTTGAATTCACTGTGTAGCCCAGGCTGGGCGCAGACTCACAGCAATCTTCCTGGCTCAGCTTCCCAAGTGCTAGAATTACAGATCTGGCAGAGGACTGGGTTTTTATTTCTGCTTTGATTAGATACTAATCTATTTAAAGGTTACAAAGCAAGGTAGAAAATTTTGAATGAAATTTGCTTCATAGATGCTAATTGATCTTCATAAATTGTTAAGGGATGATTCTGAGCCAGTAGTTAGATGACGTTTTTGCTTTTAAAGTATCACATGTGGTATTTAACATTGAATGAAGTTGGAGATTTGATAGGAAGTTGAGGGATGTTAAAGTTTTGTATGACTTTCTGTACAGCAGCTTGAATGAAATAGTGGCTACCAAATAGTTAATTGCAGACTACCTTCCCACAAAACTGAATTTCACCTAAAAACAGATTGTAGAGAGGATCACATAACTGGATGGATTTGAAATAGGTTTGTGTTCCTTGGCCTTTCTGCTCAAATAGCTACCTCAAAAACAGGCCATGGATTTAACTCTCTGTTTACTTCATTCTCTTTAATGAGTGTGCTTTTGTCTTCTTATTGTGAAATAGAGCAATACTCAACCTCAGATTCCATTCAGTGGTTTTCACCAAATCGGTCTTATTCTAGTCACTTCCTGCTTTTCCTTGCATATTCTCACGAAGTGCGTTTGGTGAGCACACAGCCTGAGTGAGGGCAGGGAACCCAGCTGCCAGCCACAGAAGGAATGTAAGAATGTGGCCCTCTAAGTGGACATGGGAACAGGGACCGTAGCTAGCTGTGAATTTCTGAAGTGTGTGCTCTAACCACTTATGTCCTCATTTGGTTGATATTATTGAATTCAACCTGTGGATCTCATGGATAAGCATTTTATCACATTTGGCTATTACACAGCTTCTGTTGCCAGAATTTGGTTGTTTCTACCAAAAATGAATGTACCAGTGAAGACTCTTTTGGTTATGAGGAAAAAAGTTAATGTTTGTTATGTCAGCTTTTTAAAAGGGAAAATGCCGCACAGGTGGAAAGTTCTTAGTAATCCCAGGAGAGAAGAGGGTGCCTCTCTGAAGGCACCCCATAACAGGAAAGGTATTAGGGCCTGAGATAGTGTGTAGAAACCATGGAAACCAGCAAACTTGTTCCTCTCCCTTCCTTTCTGGCCATCTCTTCCTAAGTTCCTTTGCCTCTGTCTGCTGATATTTGATTCTTTTTGGGGAGAACCAGCTTCCTCTGCATTCTTGGCAGTTTCCATCTGGTCTCAAAAAAAATTGAAATTTAAATTCATGTGACTTTCTAACCTAAGTGCCTGTACCAGCCGAGCCAGTGAGTATAGTATCCTGATTGTAGTCTGCTAGCGTGAGGGTCTTAGTCCAGACACTCTGAATCATGAGGTTACATGTGGTAGGCGGTGTTGCACTGATCCTGTACCATAGGCTTTATGGCAGGAAGTGGTTTATGGCAGTGTATCTGTTCCAGGGAGAGCTTTTAGAAAGGTTCAAGGAAGGGCAGGTGGTGATGGAAGCTCTAGTTTCAAATTTAGAAAGATATTTTTCTTTCATCTTTATGTCTTTCAAATATGGGAGTTCATATGAAGAGAACTAGCTAATTCCTCCTACAGTCCTTTACTGAAATCTTTACCCAAGATTTCAGTCATTATAGAGCTGAGGATGCTGAGTCACATGGGTCTGTTCTTGTGTTATTTAAGACAAGTCCAGAGATGTTGAAATATTTTCTTGATTCTCTGAACTGCCAGAATATTTTGATACATATCAATTATATATCTATCGAATATTAGTGCAAAACTACATTTGAGGAGCTATATACAAAACACATTACCATTTGTTACTGGATCTTTGAGAAAGATGAAACACGAGCACACAAAGATTTAAATATAACTGGGGATGTGTACCTTCAACTATGGACTTACCCACAAGGAAGACTATTTACCACAAAGAGCTGTGCCAGTGATGCAATAGTAAGCACATAATAATGATATCAGAGCATGCTGTGATGTTAGACCCTGAGCTCATGAAATGGTCTCCTCCTGTGGGAGCTGGATTAGATAGCCTGGACTCAGTCAGTGGACTGCCTTGTCCTTGAGTGGAAGATGGATTTGAGAAGACCAAGGGCCAAATGTTACTAGAGTGGCCTTTTGAGATCATTTAGTTTAATCGCGATTAAGTGTATAAGGAAGTATCTCTAGTACATAATATATACTGGTGCTGCTAAGGTATATTATGTAATTCTAAAAGTTGTCAGAGTGATTTATTTTAAGGCTTACTTGTTCCACCCTGGAAACCAAAGACAAAGCTGATTGCAGGGATCTATCACTGTGTGTGTGTGTGTGTGTGTGTGTGTGTGTGTGTGTGTGTTAGTTACATGTGTGTGCCTTTTTTGAGGGGAGGTGGTGAACACTGAGTTAGGAGTACCAAAGACCCAAGTTCTACTTTTGATTCTGCACTGACCCTGGGTAAATCATTTAATTTCTGATCTCAGTGTGGTATACTTTACAGATCCAGGTGAATTCCTATTTCAGTTTTCAGATGCTATAAATTTCAAATGCTATAAAACTATAATGTTGTATTATTATCTCTGATAGGGCTTGGGATTAAATTAGCTCACAAATAAAAGTAAATTACATTGTAATAACTGTGATCCCCTCCACTTCAAAAAGTAGACAATTCTTCATGGCACTAAAAGCTTGTAGAAAGCTGTTTTGTCAGCCTTTTCTATGTCAAAACACCACTCTATACTAATTTCATTTCTGTCTCTTTTCAATGCTGCCTCTTAAGTATACGCTCCATTCAACATTCAATTAGCATGCCTGCTATGAGGTAAGGTATATTTCTACCAAATATAGTTGGTATTACACTTGTGCTTTGTTTACATATTTAACTGGACTGTTCAGTGGTAGCAATCTAGCATTCTGCTCCAGAGATGTTTGATCATATACCAAATTTCAGTTACTCTTATAATGTTGGCCTGGGTAAAAAAATGCATTGAATATTTGTGAGTTTTAATACAAGAACTGTTTCTATTTTACCTTATAAACTGTTTCATATCTGAAGTGTTTCATTGTTAAGTGAATACTGCTCCCTAATTAAACCTTTTCCTTTGGTGGATACAGGTAGTTCATCTCTTCTGTCTACAATATCCTTTGCTATCTTCCCCATTTCTTTCCATCCTTCCCTTGTCCCTCTATGACATTTGAAACCAGCTGTGGTTTAATAGGACTGTTGACTTTCAGCAGTGAGCATTTGCAAGTGGTACATGTTGTTACATCACCCAGCCTCTTCAGAGGATTAGAGGGTCTTGGCTTAGACTGCAGCAGGCATTGGAATCGCCTGGAGGGCTTGTTATAACTCTGCTCGCTGAACCCAACCCTAGTGTTTCTGATTCTGTAGCCCTGGGTGGCACCTGAGAATTTGCATTATTAATGATACAGATGGTCTGGGAGATACTTTTGAGAATCAACCATCACCACTGGAGGAAGGAGGAATCCCCACGTTCCCTTCTTTGTCTTTTTCATCTTGGCAGGCTATCTGAAGCAAGGTGGATAAGATAAGAACATTGGGAACCCTTGGGTGAGAATCAGAAGCCCCAAGAGCAACCTTAATGAATGGATCTGAAGGCAGATGTGAAGCTTCTGTAGACTGTGAATACTGTTTTTGTCAGCTAGGGAAGCTTGGGGAGTAGCAAAGCCCAGTTTCTGTGCTTCAGGTGTCCCTATGGTCCCTTGTCCCTGTCCATGATGCTATCTACTAGGAATTGGGAATCCTGGTTAAGGCACCAATGATCTGCTTGTTGCAGCTCAGTGGTTTGGATTCATGTCAGAATCCTGCCAGGCAAGATGAGACTCTAGGCAGGAGCTTGAGTGTAGCACCTTAATCAAACTTTTGATTCAGTTTACTAAACTGATCTCATAGTGTCATATTCTTGTACCTTGACAAGTTGTTTGGGGAAGAGACAGAATTGATGTTTTACCTGGATTTCTTTATCACTTTTCTCACAAAGGTCTTTGCTGTTTTTGTCACTTATTTCTGAGGCTGTCTTCACAAATTCAAATACAGGTTTATAGAAATAGTAGCTCAAAAGTGAAAAGTCTGTAACAGTTCTGCTGCTGGTTGACAGTGACGATGAGGAATTAGTCAACTAATGATGTGTTCACAATTGTCGGGATTTTTCAGTGTTTGTAATTTTACTATTTTTCTTCTCTCCATAGAAACTCTCCAACTTTCAAGTCATTTGAAGAAAAGGTTGAAAACTTAAAGGCAAGTAAAGAGATGAATAGGATGTTTTGCAACACAGAGCTTGGTATCTTAATATTTCTTTGATGTGGGCAAATCACTCACCACCGTTATTTTTTTTAAAAAAATTTAAAGAACTTTAAGAACTTTATTCTTCATGACATTAATGAACATTTCAAGAGTTATGTATGCTTTCAGTCTTAGCATATGTTGTAGCATGCTAAATGCTGAAAGGTACAATTTAGAAAGCAGTGACCCTTTTGCTTTTATTCATTTCAGATATCTTTTATAATGTAACTTTATTGGAGACAAAGAATATAGAAAGCACAAAAAATAAAATATGGTGCCACCACCCAGAAATAGTGATATATGTGGAGAGTAGTACTATGCTATTATAATTTAAAAAGAACTGAGGGCTGGAAGTGTAGCTCAGTGGTACTACACTTGCCTAGTGTGCATGAAGCCCTGGATTCAACCCCAGCATCGCAAAAAGAATAAAAGTCATGCATCAAAAATTTTCCAGTATCATCAAATATTCTTCACTTAGGGTATTTAGTGGATGTTTGCGTATGTCTTATAATGGACAGTTATTTGATCCTCAGTGATTGGACGATCTGTTATTTATTAGAATGACGCCATGGTGCTTATCATTGACTGTTCAGTTTTAATTATTTGTGGTGTCAAGATTACAATATATTCAAAGTTACAAAATCATTAATTCTTAGTAATACGCCTGACTCTCTCTGCATTGAGTAAAGCCCAAATATTTCTTCCCAACTTAACTGACACTTACAGTCAATATTTTAAGGATTAAAACTAATAAATATTTTTACATAAATGAATTTAAAAGCTAATGTTGAGTCAAAACTAAACAATTCACCTTTTTTTAAGGTTATAGAGGCAGGGTATATTTATTTATTTATTTATTTTTTGTCTTTTTCCTTTTTATCGGTACCAGGGATCGAACTCATGACTGCCTGCTTGCAAGGCAGACGCTTATGCCACTGAGCTAAATCCCCAGCCCCCAGGGTATATTTATTGAAAAAAATCTAATGTAAAATTATCTAAGTCTTCATTTGCCCATACAAACATTAGCATACCTTTTCTGTTTGTGCACACAAATGTCAGTGCTTTTTTGATCACACTGTGCACATGGCCTTACAGTTTATTCAGCCCCGCTCCTCCAGCATGATGCCAGGGAAACCCACTGATTGGAGAGGCAGCAGACTTTGTTTGCTTCCTCATACCTCTCCAGGCCTAGCGTGGTCCTCGGCACATTGCTATATGTGTTTGGTGAATAAAAGTGTATCAGTCATTCTTCAAGATCTGTATAAGAGACCTATTTTTTCTTAATGCCAAGTCATGTACTTGAAAACAGTCTACTGCAGAGTGTCGAGATTTAGCATAACTCCTCAGTATTGTTAGGATTCTCCTGTCCCCAACTAGACATCTGTCCTAAGCAGTAGTCTTTGCAGTGGTTAGTTGGAAGCCTACCTATGTTCAGTTTTGTTGGTAGAGCTGAGGAGGAACCTCCAGTCATTTGCTAAATATTTTTTCTGAACATATTTAGACTATAATTGTGATAAAACACACTTCTGTAATATAATTTGTACTGGCTGTAATCACAGCATGCTAGGAAACTGAGGCAAGAGGATCAAAAAGTTTGAGCTCAGCATGGGCAATTTATTTGAGACCCTCCTTCAAAAGATGATTTGGGAGCACAGTCAATGTAAAAGCCGTGGGCTCAGTCTCCAGGACTGCCTCTGTGTGTGCATCATTCAGATAATGTATAAATATAGTACAGCATATCAGATATTCCCAAAGAAATTTCAAAGTACAGTTGTATGCTTGGAGTATAGTTTTGCCAGTTTACATTTATATTCAGTTAAACACTGTCATCATATATACTTTTATATTTGTATTGCTCTGTGTTACTGAGCATCTCCTATGGCAGCGAAAGTGGAGGGTGCAGTGAGGGTTAGTGGTAGGAACCTCACCTTCCTTGGGAGGCGGGAAAGTCAGGGAAGGCCTCTTAGGGGAACCAGTAATAGAAGCGGAAATCTTTAAGTTGAGAGAAATGTTTGATGATTGAAAACCCTTTCGAGGAATAGGGATTTGAAGTTAAGGTAATGGGAAACCACTGAAGGATTTTAAAACAGCCCGAGGAACCTCATCCTCTGTGCATTTTAGAAAAAAGACCACTGGCAACCCTGCACACCCAAAGGAAGGGCAAGCCTGGAGACAGGCAGCTTAGGAAGCAAGAGTTTTAATCCCAGCCAAAGATGATGGTGGAGAGAATTGTGATAGTGCAATGGGACAAAGCATAAAGGTATTCAGAAGTTAGGACAGAATTAAAGAGATTAGTTGTGTAACAACATGGGGCAGGCTCCCATACAACTCCAGGTGTCTGGATGGGGGCAATCTGTAGATACTACTAGCTATACTAGATATAGTAGTATAGTACTAGTATACTATACTAGTATCTAGTATACTACTAGTATACTACTAGTACACTAGATACTACTATAAATTCTTTAAAAAGAATAGGAGGAGCTGCTTGTGGGGATGAGTTTAGTTTTAAATATGTTGAACTGAAAGGTGTCTTTAACCATTTCTTATTAAGGAATGTTTTACCAAGAACAATAGATACAAGTCATAAAATTTCTCAGTTCAAAGGTTTTAGATGGGAGAACAAGGGGAGTAAGAAAATTTCAACTAGATTCTCAATCCTTGGGAGTCTCTAGTCAGTTAAGACTCAGGAGCAAGGTCAAGGTCAAATCTGTTATGAGCTGCTTTTCACCCTTTGTCACTGGCTGGTTTCTTAGTGTTGGCTGTCCTGTGGGTCAGTCATGTGTAATCCAGGAGTGAGCACAGATACATCAGCATTGGAACAAGCAGAAGTGAAGCTGTACTAAGGGGTTTTGAAATGCACAGATGTTAGGCAGATGAATTCATTCTAACAAATACTGACAGAATTTCAAGCTAGACAGGTTGGAGGAATGCTTCTCACTGTGCACATGAATCACATGAGGATCCTGTTGGAGTGCAGATTTCAGTTCTGTGGGGCATAGGGGCAAGTATCTCAGTCTTCATGTCTAACAATGAGTCTGCAGTCCTTGATCCCCACTTTCGTAAAGGGCTGAAAAGCTTACACTGTAACTGGGAAAAAGATGTGTTTCTTCTGTTGCTATGCTGAACAGTATTTCTTGATTGAATGTAGCTAAATGAACACTTGGATGTGATGCAAACTGTTTATGCAAGCATTATGAGAGTTCATTAGCTATTTTGGAATGACAGGCTTTACAGAGTTCCTGAGACAAATTTTTCTATGGAGAACAATTAGCAGACTCCAGTCTGAAGATTTCAGCAAGGAAGGCTGCATTGTTTTAATAACCACCCTGAGTATTACAGCAATACTAACTTCCAAATGTCTACAATGATCACTGAGCTGTCGGGTTCCTGATTTGAAAGTAAAATTTGCAGTGTCAGCTAATTTTGTTTCTTGTCTTCTTTCCTTTTTTTTTTTTTCCCCTTTCTTTTTTTAAGTCTAAAGTAGGGGGAACCAAGCCTACTGGCGGGGATTTTGGAGAAGTCTTGAATTCCACTGCAAATGCCAGTGCCACCGTCACAGAGCCGCCTCCAGAACAGACACAGGAGAGTCTGTGAGATCGCTACCTTTGTTCCACTACCCACTGCCAGATGCTGCAAGCAAGATCCAAGCACATCTTGTCAACATTCATTGCCATGGATTTCTACCAGATGTGCTTTTATTTAGCTTTATGTATTTCTTTGACCAAATAGTTTTGGAGTTAAACAAAATGAAAATATCTTCACCTCTACTCCTGGGAAACACCCTGAATGTGCATTCAAGGCTATTTAGGGAAATACTGTTATAAAGACACAAGTAGTACCTGGAGACACGTGCTAGAATGATCTAAGAAGCAGGTGATCATAGTTGCTTTTCTACTTTACAAAATTGCTCTGCATCTGAGATGCTACTTGGATCTTTGTCTTCTAGATTTTTTTTCTTCTTTAACTCCTCTGTTATATGACTCCTAATTCAAATTGTTCTTTTTTAAGTTTTCTGAATCTTTTATTAGTTATTAAAGTTTTCTGTGCCATTTTATTTACATTTAAGGGAAGAATTTACCAGCTACAAAAAACATTGTTTTGAATAAAGTTTTCATATAACGTATATATCTTGGGTGTGTGAAGATATCAGAATGAAGTAAAGAACTTTAAACTCAATCTGTTATGGTTGTGTGACAGTATGTACAGTAATTCCAACTACTGGGTGACTTGGGAGTAGGACTGCCCCATATCGTTAACTGCCCTTTATGACTGTAACCATTTCAGCATATTTGTTATTGTGTCACTTGTATCGATTTTGACAATACTGAAATTTTATTTTTGGACTAAATGGACAGTTGACCAAATAACAAGTCAAGCATATCAGGTAGAAATACAAGTGTGCTCATCAATGTGTAGCTCAAACACTTGAAGTGTTTTCCATCTTGATGGTTGTAAACATGGAGGTCAATCACATTAGGTGAAGAACTGCTGTCTCCATTTAATCCATTTAGCACCTTTTAAAATAAGCACACAGTTATACAACTGATATAACTTGAACATTTTTATACTAAGGTGTTGGTTATAACTCCTGAGGGTGTGATTTATTAATAAAAATCAATTCATCATTCTCTACTTGTTTGCGGTGTTACAAATGGAACTGCAGACATTGTTCCTATTTTAAAAACTGGGTATCCAGGCTAGTGAATCAAATCTTCTCTGCACAGAGGCCAAGGTACTCTAATTACTGCTACTGACTTACCATCAGCACCACCACTATTTCCTTATACTATACCTTTATGGCCTATCATGTTATCTGTTATTTATCAAGTTGTGATTGTTTTATTGTTTATGCCAAATGTTAACTGCCAAGCTTGGAGTGACTTAAAGCAGTTTTTAAAAGCATGACTAGATTTAGTTCAAGATAAATTCTTCTAAAACTCAAATTTAAAAAGCCTCAATGTTGATTGTTATAAAATGACATGCTACCATTCTTGACTGCTAGAGCTTTTGTTAGCACTTTGGATGCAACTGAAACTATGCTCTATTACATGTGCAAAGCTTAATAAATTCTGCATACACTAGTATAGGTCTCAATATTTATTATGAGGCCAGTGGTCTGGAAACAGTTTATTAAAGAATCATCTAGTGTCTATAAGCAGTGTTTACTGTCGGTATTAAATTGCTGATTAATGGTATCAAGCTAATGCTGTAAATTATTTCCTTCTCGGGTCTTAAGGCAAAGGTAGTTGGAGTTTTCTCCCAGAGGAGCAGATCTGTAAAAATTTGTCACTTGTAGAAATACTATGGTTATTTAACATAGCTGTTATTTTTTTCTACCAAGGAGGTTTTATTGTTGTTGTTGTTCAGCATCTTCTCTTCATTATATTGTTTCTTTGCCTGTTCCTATCTTTCAATAATGGCAGTTTAGGTAAGAGAAATATCTTCGAGTTTTTCTCCACCATATGAGGAAAAATGATAAAAATGGGTATGGGAAAGTGGGATGGGTCTAGGTAAGTTTTGGAAATGGCTGTAAAAGAAATAGGAAACTCCCTTTCCTAGGTAACTTCCTAATTTAAAATTTGCTTAATCTATTATATACTACTCTGCTCTTAGAAGTAAAAAAAAAGGATGAATTCAGGAAAATAAACATGGAATTAAAAATATTATTCCAAGTGCTCTCTGTGGCAGATTTGATATTATGAATCAGATATTTTGAAAATTTGAAACTGTGACTAGGACTACCAGAAAGCAACCATAGCTACTCTTACTGTTTTGTGTTTAGCATTATAACAAAACAGGAGAGAGAAATCTGGTATTTATGAAATCTCATATATAAGGACTCAAAAAGTGTAATAGAAAAAATATCTTACACAAAGCAGTGTCCTTAAGTTATAGAGTTGGTGGGAAATAAACTTGAGGTCAAAGTAATCAATGAAGACAACACATCAACTGGATTATCCTATCAACTCAAATTACTAAAGTATAGAAAAAAACATTTAATTTGGGTCATTTGTGGATCTAAGAGACACATGGTGTATTTTTTTATAGTATTTTAAAGGAATAAAAATTCTGTAATTTGGGTATGGGTTCTTTCGTATGTATTGCCTATCTGTGGAGGAAAGGGGCAAGTCCAAAACTCTTCATATCCTGGATGTGTAAAGATCCATAAGTAGCTGTGTTGAATCAAAATGAAAAAAAAAAACATGCTGACTATTAAAATGCATGTATTAAGTGTTTGTTGCACATGTTCCAGAGGAGGTAATGAGTAAGACATTTTGTCAAGACTACGTGTTTTTATAGGTTTTTTTTTTTTTTGAGACAAGATATTGCTGTGTAGTCCATGTTGGCCTTGAATTTGCAGCAATCTTTTTGCCTTATTTTATCGAATGCTGGGATTAAAGATATGCACCATCATGACCAGCTTCTTACAGGTTTTAAAAATCAGAAGAAAAAGTAAAGTTTTTGCCCATATTGAAGAGACATTTGGCCATTAGTCAGTTTTAGTGACCGTGTCACTGTAAGTACATTATAAAGTCCCAGAGTGGGTCACACTGTAAAAGCATCATTATCAGGCAACTTCACGATTCCATATTGCTCTGATAGAAGTCAGAAAGCTTTTTCATCTTGGTATGGTAGGCCCCAGAGGGCAGGCCATGCATGTGCCTGTCACCTGCCAGCACTTCATTAGTAAATGCTGTTCAAGGAGGCCAGAGGTATAGCCTAGTGGCACAGCACCTGCCAGGCAGCATGTGGTTGTGGGTTTGATTCCCAGCACCAAAAAAAAAAAAAAAAATGCTATTCAGTGACTATGCTTTTTGCCAGCTCACATACTTTTGATGTTACTGAGGTTGCTTGGTAGTGTGATTACTGCAATTTTGTTTGAACACACATTTGTAAGAGGATGTGACTTTTCATTTTGACAGTTTATGCATGAACATTTTCCTAAGTTTCTTAATTTGTGTTATTTTCCAATTTGTTAGTATTCTTCCAACTCCTTAAATGCTTATTCTTAGTCATTATCTCCATGATACCCTTAATGATCTTGCCCATTTGCATGGCTGCAATGACTGAAAACTAGTATCTCTAGATCTAGCCTAACAGACTCTGACAGTTTGTTAAGAGGCTTGAAGTTCTAATCACCTGGTCACTTCACCTGTCCATGAATAGCCACCTATTGAGTGCTTAGACATTTTACTGTCATTTTAAATTCTTTTCTCAAGGGTATGGTGGTTTAACAATTTTATAAATGAGACAACAGCCAGTAGACATAAAGCCAGGCATTTAGCTATTTCGTTTCCTTTTTACCTGCCATTAGTAATATGTTTGCCACGTGTATTAACAACCTGAAAACTATAAAGGAGAAAAAAGGCCTGTATCTTAGTAAAGCAAGAAGGAAGGTATGGGTAGAATAGGGTTAGAATGCTTAAAATGCTACAAAAATGTGAAAACACTGCATTACAGCGGATGGGAAAGCCTGTGACCCTCCTCCCTTCGCTGTCATCTTTAACCCCTCTCATTTGATACTTCTGACACTCCTCTACCAAAGGCAGAATTTTGAAGTCAGCTGACAACAAACAATTCATTTTCAATGCTGGTGACTTTGACATTTTAAAAAATGTGCTTAATGTGAAAGTAACCTTCAAGTAAAACTGAAAACTTCAACAAAGTACATACAGCCCATCAACACATTTATTAATTAAAAACTACAAAAATTAAGGGAAAAAGCCAGGCTGGATGTGGTGGCACACACCATAATCCTAGCACTTGGGAGGCAGAGACAGGTTCACTGAGTTCGAGGCCAACCCTACACTACATAGAGAGACCCTGTTGTAAAAAAAAAAAGCAAAAAATCCCCAACATACCTGTTAGAATCCTTGAGTTCTCATCTGTCAAAGGCAAGATGTGTTTCACGTATTTATTGAATTTCAGAGCTAGGACTTAGTAACCCCGCTTTTTCTGTTCATAGTAATGTAAACTTTGCAAAGCATGTCCTTAAACGCGGTACTGTGATAAAAGCTTGGTTTTACAAGCGAGGAAACCAAGTCAGCGACATGAAACTGGCTTGCCTAAAATCAGAATTAGCAAGGACTATAATTGAGGGCTCTTAAAAAGTTGCTGGCTGTGCTCTTTACAACTTAACCACATTTTATGAAATGAAAGAAGTGAAAGCAACAGCCACAGAATAATACAAAACTGTTTTAGGCAAGAGTTAATTATAGGGCAAGGGAAATAAACAGTTTTAAGTGCCAAGAGGGGAGAACTCTTTCACCTTAAAGCCTCCACTTAACTGTTCTGTACGGTGTCTGTGCCAAACAGATTGAAAGCATAAGACAGCTTAAATCCATTATCGAAGGCATTTCTAAGATAGGATCTGTGATCCTAAAATTTCCTGCTCTCAACCATTAAATGACATAGAAAGGCGTGTGCCACCAGTCCCGCGAGGTAACCAACCGTGGGTTAACAAAACTGTTGGGTAAAAGGTGTGGGGGACTGATTAACACTTAAGTTTGGCGTTGGGTTTAGTTTTCAAAAGGGTGAGCAAATTCTAGAAATCAACCTTGAAGCTAAAAGTGAGGATGGGGGTCCCTGGTGGTGCAATGTGTGGCACGTTCTGAAACTTAATACTCTAGACAGGACAGTAGCTACCTAAAGGTGACAGAACCTGTCAGGATTACTATTTTCAAAACTTAGGTGGCCCGTCGGCAGAAACGGCAGGGTACAAACTTGGTCCCAGGGTTTCATACGTTTATTGGGCTCCACTGCAAGGATTCCAGCAGCAGATTCCTTCACGGAGTTTGCAAAGCTGAGGGAGCAGACTATAAAAACTTTTAATACAGTAAGTGACATAGTAGGAAGTGCTGGGTGAATGGGACAAACAGAAGCCGAATAGCGTTAGAGCTCCCAAGTCTAACGCGGAGAACCTGAGGTTTGAACCGAAGCCCGGAAAAAAGGAGGAGCGCGGCGGTCAGCTACGAGGAGACACCCAGACGAGGAGCACAGCAAGGGTGGCATGACCACGCACCCTCAGGGTCAGACGCACTCCCCAATCAAATCTCACCGCACCTACAGCTACTAATTATCTGGACGAATTTCGGTCGCAGCCTCGATGCCCCACACAGCACGGTAGCCGCACCACAGCGCTCGGAGGCGGTGGGCGGGGCCCTCGTCGCCCCGCCCCCTGACCCGCGCGCTTGCGGAACGGAGGCCGAAGGTCAGAGGTTGCAGAGGCGTCATGGCGGCGCTGTGTGGGACTCGTGCCGTTGCGGCTGAGAGCCGTTTTCTGCGAGTGTTTTTCGTCTCTAGGCGCTCTCGAAGCGCGGGCATTGAGAGTGGCTCCGAGAGCGGAAACTCTGATTCCTCAGCGCCTAAGACGCGCCCAGGGGGTTTCGCGAGCGCGCTGGAGCGACACTCGGAGCTGCAGCGGAAGGCGGAGCTCGGGCGGGTGAGAGGACTCACGGGTGCCCCGCCTAGGACACGGCGGGTGGGGCCAAGAGGGACGCTGCGTGTGGGGCTGGGACTCGGGCGGAGCCTGGCCGTCCTGGTCGGGAGGGGTGGAGGAATCCGTGCAGGTATCTATGCGGCTGGCCCCTGGCTCCCTAGCGCGTGCTTGGAATTTTTTCTCCATTCATTGAACTCTTAGGCGTCGTTCACTTGCCGGACCTGCTGTCCCCACACGCCTTCATTTGGCTCTTCCTGGAGTGAGCGCCACCGCCTTGGAGTAGCGGGACTGCAAAGGGGGTTGCCAGCGAAGTTAGCCGGGTGACTCCTAGGACTCACTGGGAGGGGCAGAGCTGTGTTATGTCTTGCGCACAGAATAGTTCCAGCATGGAAGCTTGGCATCTGGTGTACAAGATTTTTCATAAATAATTTGTTATTTAAATAGGTGGAGGCCAGGGATATAACTCAGCGGCATAAGCGTCTGCCTGAAGGTCCTGAGTTCGATTTTCGGTACTACAAAAGAAAAAAAACAATAATTGAATGGTAGAATTACTGTTTCTGAGCTAGAGCAGTTACTCTTTTGGGGCTACCCTCTGCTTATTTTTTTTTCTTTATTTTGGTTTCAATGAATACTTTAGTGAAA